ATTATCTTCACAACCTATGGGTAAAGTCAACCAGAGGAGACAAGAGCTGAGAGATGGGTCTTGATACCATCATGTGGGCCCTCGGATCTAGCCATACCTGCAGGTCTCAGCCACACCAGCCTCTAAAGCCCGGAAATTCTCTTCTATGCTTAAGCCAGTTGGACTGCATACTTTGTCCCTTGGAACCAAAAGAGTCTTGTGCATACTTTATGCCCGTCTAACTTTCTTGGGCGTCACCAGTTATACATAATCCAATAGAATGGTACTACTGAATCTATAATTTGCTTTCAAAACTTAGTGACCTTGTTTTTGTATGGAAGAACTCCAAATATTGTTTTCCCAAATCTGGGTGAAGCTTTAAGGGGAAAACAATGGATCAGACATTAGGACTGAATAACGTTCTGAATTTCCTGTGTTAATCCTGTCCCTCTTTTATTAGTGTTCAATAATCACTTAGGCCTTTCCTAGTTCATCTTCCCTAAATTTAGTAATTGCATTATAATCTCCACTAATAGATTGCAAAAGGCAGGAAATGCTCAATGTCTTTTAAATTACTAATCAATTTTAAGATTTTCAAATTCAAAAGCCTACATCTTCCTTCAGATTTCAAGTTCAGTTCATAAATTTATTCTACTTAAACTTCTAAGAAGTTTTGGAGTCAATTTTAAGGTATGTTTAAATAATTTTTGGTCCCATTTATAACAGGTATACTTAATATCTTGAAACAATTTTAATTGTATTTATAAACATAATCATTTTCTTTCATTTTTAAGTACATTAATATGAGAATCTACTTAGTATTTAAATAACTATTATAAAACTAATATATTAAAGTTAAAAATACACCAAATTTAATGTTTTAAGTAATTGATAACTAATAAACTTACTAAGATGTTACCTTAAATCAAAAGTCAACTCAATTATTCCTTTGAAATTGGAGAAATAAGCCAAATATTACAAATGTATAAAATCCTCAATTTGCACAGATTCTTTCTTAATCCCTATCCAGAGTTAGCCAACCTGTAAAGTCAGAGGGAACAGTCCACACAAGACAGCCCTCATTTCAGACACAGCTGCAAGCTCGGGGCCTCCAGGACCACCCTTACTTCAGACCAGCTAGCTAAAAATTGAGGGATTCCCATGACCACCCTCGGGTTTGATAATTTGCTACAAGAACTCACAGAAATCACTGACAGCTGTTATGCTCAAGCAGAGCACACAGGGACAGGATACAGGTTAAAATATGGCGGAGTCTGGGAGCAGTCCACACACAGAGCTTCTGGTCATCCTTGTCCTGTGGGGGCATGCACAGCATCACCACCTCCAGGCCATAATGTGTGGCAATGCACAGAGAATTACCAACCAGGGAGGCTCAGTCAAGCCTTTGGGGTCCAGAGTTTTCATGGGGCTCAACCACATACTGCCCACATGGCTGATCTTTTGGCTCCAGCCCCTCCTGTAGGTCAAGCTATTGCCTTTAGGCCCTAGTTACTCTGGTGGTCAAAACTGACATGGCATGGCTCAAAGCCCCCATCATAAGTCGCATTGTGACCTTCTGGTGGTCAAAGACCCCCACCAAACAGAGACCCTCCTACCAGGCAGGACATGCCAGGGGTCCAGAGAACCCCTCCCAGGAGCCCAAGGCAAAGGGCAGACCATTTGAGTCAGGTTAATTCTTTACTACACAATCCCAAAGTATCATTTCTCTATCTTTGATTATCCCAACATTTCTAAGAAGACTCTAAATCCTTGTGGATTTGAAGGACACTTCCTGGGGCAGACAATTCCAGCCCAGCAAACAGCTGATCTTCGGCGTTTCACCTGGCGTGAGGTCTGGAGCTGTGGACGTCCTTGGCACTTCTCGCCGTTCACTGACAGCTTGATCGTTGGCTTTGTCTTTTTAAAACACTCTACACTTCAGCCAAATTTAGAGTTGGCCGGACTAACATTTAGACAAGACCCACAGGTAAAAGCTTCCCCATGAATAAACATTTTTGACTCTTCGAGATGGCACATGATGTTGGTCATACATTAGGAAGGTCTTTTAAGAGAGAAACAGTAAATTTCCATCTTGCCACAGTGACTGTGAGTGAATTCCTTCTAAAGCTTACTTAGCAGCCACAATTTAGACGTAAATAATATTAATAATGCTTTGAGGCAATTTTGCAACATAATAGGAAATCATCATTTGGGGATGCTCTGATTTTTGAAAAAGCTTAGTGATTTGTTTCTAAAAAGCATGACAAAGACGTCACTGTGCTCAAAACAAAGGGAAATCACTCCTCTGTGTGGACTTTGCAAGCGGCACCTAAGCACACACATGGTTGGGCCGGTCCTGCCCAGGTGGCCACACAACACAGTTCATGGTGGTTCTTGTCGTTAATGAAGCAGGATGCCGCCAACAGTGGGGAATTCAGTTAGCAAACTCCACAGGCTGTGCCTTGTGTCCAGGAACAGATTGTGTACTTGGCCTCGTAAACTCCAGGAACCAACTGAGCTAGCTCGTTGTTTCTCAGATTTGCGTCTTCCTCTCTTTTCCCCTAGAAAAATAGTTTCCTAAGATTAAATGGTGAGGCTTTAAAGAAGTTATGTTTCTTACTATTTATTTTTTTATTCTTAGCTTCAAACCCCATTCTTAAAGAGGAGCTTCGGTATCATTGTGACATGTGGAAGGCACTGTCACTGTCATATCATAGCCAACATGTCAGCATTTCACATCGAGGTTGCAGGAAACAAAGTGGTACAGCCAACTACACAAAGCAGTGTAGATTTAAGTGAAACAATGACCAAATATATTAACGTTTTATATGCATAAGGCAAATGAGTACAATTACAAAGGAAGCCATTTATACGGGAATACAGACATCAAACAACTAGAATTGCAACATGCATACACTTCCTCTAAAACATTAAATAATAAGATCTAGTAGCTACCTTAATTTATAAGTACTAATGAGCATTAAATGATATTTGCAACATTATAAGGTGACAAAAGAATGGATACTGCTGTTACTATTGTGGTAATAGATAAATGAAATGTCAAATCTCACTTAGAGCTTTGTGAAAATCAAGATGTAATGGTGTATGTGTGTGTGTGTGTGCACGCGCGTGTGACTTGGGGACCAATGATGTGGGTCAATGACTGATTCTAGGTCAACTGGTTTCAGAAATGCAGACTGCCTTCTTTTGATGGGTGGCTACCTGAATGGATTTTGAGAGAGGTCTCACGCTTTGCAATGTCTCTCACTTTATCTCCCTTTATTATTCTCAGTCTGTTTCCTCCAAACTGTGAAGCAGTGAGAAAAAGAAAAAAGTGCAGGGTCCTTGGGGGAACTAAGGGGGATGACTTTTCTTGCATGACTTAGAGCCTTGGCAGTGGAGAGAGTCCCAGGCTGACAGGAGGTGGCAGCTTCAAAGAGGAAAGGCTTTCAGAAAAGGAGAGGAAAACAAGCTGAAGGCCTGGAGTCTGCAACAGGGAGGAAGAAGAATGCGGGAAATTGGTCCCAGAAGATGGACAGAGGGAGGGCCCACGGGGTTCCCTGACAACAACTTCGAACTCAGGGATGAGTTCTTGAGTCCAGTGATCATCAAACATGAATTTTATTTATTATAGAACCGTAGCATACGTTTGTGAATGTGCATTGTCTCTGTATGTCTGTGTCAATATCTGTTTGATCTTCTCAAAGAAACCTATAGAGTGAACTGCTCCTCCCCTTTCAGAGACGAGGAAACTGAGGCACAGAGGTGTCAATGCTTTCCCAAGGTCATGTATTTGTAAGCAGCAGAGCCAGGCTTAGAATCTAAGGCTTATTTCTGAACACTTCCCCATATAGACGGCTGAAGGGATTGGGCTGACCAAGCGTAGTTTGGTGTACAAAGTGTTTATGTGGAGCTACCAAAATGTCCTGAAATGTATTTTTTAGTCGGCTAATTTTTCAGTGACACGGAAGTATACGTCACAATGCACTTAAAATCAGACGCTTCATATGTGAAATTTTCCTGAAGTTACCAAGTGTGTGGCTTTCTCCCGTAGCTAGTATTTCACATGCTTCTTAACTCTGAGTCTTTCCAGCATGAAGTGAGAAGTCTGCTACGGCTGTCTTCGGGCTTCTCCAGCTTACTGGCTTGGCCTCACTTAGGGCTGGAGGCACGAGCCAGCGGTGCGTGAAGAAGTTCATTAGAGAAAGGAATTGGATTTGATTAATCTTTTCTAAACACTGATTGACTAAGACAGTCCATTTTGCTAACATTTATATTGCAGTAAAGTTTAATTATGGATTATTTTGCCATGAGGCAAACTAGACTGACATAAAACAGAGAGTGAAAATTTACAGTACCGTAGAAATATCTATTTCTAATTTCCTGCTAATTACTTTTCTATTTTATTTATGGCTTTAGAAACACACTTTTATAAGTACACACTTTTATAAGTACAATTGTGTTCCTAAAATAAAAAATTCAGGAGAATTGATAAAGACGAAGAAATAGATCATAAGAAATACAGAACCGGTATCCAATATGACAACTTCTGTATGTACACATTAACTTAACTCTGTTGACTTGACATAAATGGTCAAGTCGATCAAAAAATAGACAAACCAACGTGCCATCTGATGTGGCTGCTTCCGAATAGTGATTTTGCTCTTGCCTACCATGGGGCGTACGGATGGAAAGAACTTTTCCAACTACAAGACACTAGTCTAATATATTCTGTCACCAGAGCTTTTTTCTTTTCCTTTTTTCCAGAAGCCTCTCTATTTGTTTGCTTCTTAAAGTGATTAAAGGATTATAGATTCTGCTTTGGAATTAGTCAGCCTCATCCACGACGTTTCCCATTAGTTAGAGAATACATTTTTAGCTTGAAAAGAGCTCAGAATAAAAAAGAGATTGGCTGGGGAAGGGAGACGGCAAGGGAGATATTTATATTCAGGGGCAAAAGTCCACATTTTAATTGTGTGTCCAAGTTCATATCTGGTAATTGCTGCTCATGTTGGTTTCAGACAGATAAAGACTTGGAAAGACCTGCCAGTCAGACAAGCAGCCCACGGGAAGCCTGTGCACATCCATGTCAGGTCCGAAGAGACTTCTGTTTCACCAGCCTACCGTGGGTATCAGATAATGCAGGACATGAAATAAAGTGTAAGAATATTAAATTGTAAATCTGAACTTCTCAGGTTTAACTCAAACCTCATCCTTATTTGATCAGCAAGACCCCCAATAAAAGTGATTCCCTGCTTTGTATCAGTACAATTTGAGGCATTTGAGGAGATTCGATAGGTTCAGTTCTTCGCTACAATCAGCATCTGGAGCAATAGCTTCAGCAATAAAAATTCTGGTTTAACAGTTAGAACAAAGCATCAACTACTCCATCCTGTTCAAAAGAGTAAGTATATGTCTCACTGTTTGCTTTTGGGGGTGAATTTTTGTGCTAGCATCTTTCTTGCATGTCATATGAAAACAATGAACACTGATATTTTTAAATTTTGTTCAGCTTTGTTTTATTGTCCAACAAATACTAGTTTGCTTTAGAATAAATTAAGTAAATAGTATCAAAATAAAGAGAAAATGCTGCCTATAATCCTTTCTCTTGCCTTCACTACACCTAAATACCACTGTTAACATTTGGACCTCTGTCCCCAGGCGCATGCAGAGGTGTATAATGTTTCTGGATAGATACATATATTTCTGATGCAAAATATTCAACAGCTACGTTTCAGAAACAAATTAAAAAAGCTGCGTCTTTTATTTCTTTACCTCTAATAAAATTTCTGATTTCGTTTTCATTCTTTCCTAATCTCTCATTATTTAAGCTTGCCTCAAATAAATGTGCAATTAAGCTAATGCTTATTAATTACCTAAATGCTAAACTTCTTTTTTTGGAAAGTAAGATATTTCAATTTCCTCTTAACCTTCCTGAGTTCAAATGAATATATTTAATATATTTAAATATATACATTGAAGGCTTTCAAAGCCAGAATTAAATTAGGGGCTGGGAGCAATAACAAAGTGTAAGAATTCCTCTCTCTTTAAGGAGATTCCAGAGTGCTCAGGGATACAAACAAAGACGTGAACGGATTGAAGAGCCATTGGTGCAGTCGAGGAGAAGGGACGGACAAACCTGTGGACTTGGATGCCTCTGAGAAGCCTTCAAGGCTCCACAGAGGCTGCCAGCTCTGAGAGATTTACACTGTGGGAAGGAGGGGGAACTCTTCCAGGCACAGGAAGCAACTGACAAGGCATGGAATTGGTAATGAGCGTGGTGTGGCAGGGCTTCATAAAGTGCAAGATGAACAGAGGAAAAGGTGGTCGTGAAGTCGGATGGGGAAGGTTACAAGAAATGTCATCATTATTAATTTACACCATTTTGACCTGAGCCTATATTTTGTTCATCTGAATGAGATGTTCTTGATTTATTGAAAGCCTTATCAAATATCACCTTTATCTCTATCAACTCTTGAGCTCTCTGTGCACATTTTTAAGTGCCTGCTGATGTCCCACAGATCTTTCCACTCACATACGTCCTCCATTGTACTCATCACATTCCTTCCGTTCAGCTCCCCAGATGATCACCAGAGAATCTGTTAGTAAAGCAAAACTTCCTCGAACTTCTCTCAGTAAGGGAGAACATGACCTTGACAGAGTCTTAGCAGTGTCTCAGAAGTGAAATATTTACAGAATTTTGGCATCTAGGCTTAAGCTTTAAACTGGTCCCTCAAGATGGGAGCTAATTGCACAAAATCTCCTGAAGAAAGTCTTGATAAGCAGACTTTCGTTTAGTGAGTGGCCTATTTGCTCAGGTGAACAGACTCTTATCTTTAGTAAATTTATCGGTAGGAATTTCCTAAGACAATTGGTGGAATTATTTCTGGAAGCTTTCCGGGAACAAAGAACTATGTTACATTGACATAGGTGTTCTATAGACTTATCTAAGTCAGTGGACATAGATGGTCTCAGTTCTCTCCTCCCTAAACCAGCTCCTTCTAAGGCGTTTCCCACCTGAGTCACTGGTAACAGCCGGCTCCCTCCTACTCTTCCTGGGGAGGAGTCCTTTTCACTCCTCCCGCCTCTAATGTGGGCTCTCCCTCTCAGTCCCACGGTTCGCAATTGCTTCCCAAACTCTGGTCCAGCATTTCTTCTGTCTCCATTCTTTCTTTCACATAAAGGTGAGAGTTTTATTTCTGAAATAACTGAATAGGTAATTTCTCTCCTAAATGATTTACAATAGTTTCACAACTATTCTGATTTTTTTTGTGATGGATTAATTCTGTCTCTTCTAGAACTTCATGTAAATACAATCAGACAGTTTGTATTCTTTTGTGGCTGGCTTCTTTCACTCACCTTAATGATTTTAAGGTTTATCCATATGTGTGTGTGCCAATAGTATGTATTTTTTCATTGCTGAATAGCATTCCATTTTACAAGTATACCGCATATTGTTTATCCATTCTCTTGTTATGGACATTTTTATTTCCAGTTTGGGGCTATTAGAAACAAAGCTGCTATGAACATTTTAACACAACATTGCTTGTGTACATGCGTTTTTATTTCTCTGGGGTAAATGTGTAGAGGTGGGCAGCTCTGTCAGTGAGTAGGTATATGTTTAATTTTATGAGAAACTGCCAGGCCAATTTCCAAATTGGTTCTATGTTTTATCCTCCCACCACCAAAGCCTGAGAATTCCAGCAGCTTCACAGCCTTGCCAGCATTTCATACTCTTGGTCTTTTTAATTTTATTCACTCCAGTGGGTGTTTTGGGGTATCTCATTGTAGCTTTAATTTGCATTTCCTAATAACTAATGACGTCGAATGTGTTTTTATGAGCTTATGATGACTTGTATATTTTGCTTTGTAAGTGTCTGCTGAAGTATCTTGCACATTGTTTATTGGGCTGTTTCTCTTTTTATTATGGAGGTATAATTATTCTTTATATATTCTAGATATAGGTCCTTGGTCATTATATGTACTGCAAATATTTTCTCCCAAGCTGTAGCTTTATCTCTTTAGCTGTGTTTTGTGAGACATAGAAAATTTCAATTTTGCTGAAGTCCAATTTAGGTATTTTTTCTTTTACAATTATTGCTTTCCGGATCCTTTGTAAGAAATCTTGCCTAGCTCAAGCTCATGGTATTTTCCTGCTTTTGCTTCTAGATACTTCATACTCTTAGCCTTTATGTTTAGGGCTATGATCTATCTTAAGTTATATTTGTGTATGGATGGAGGTAGGCACTGAAGATTATTATTTTCCATATGAATATCCAGTTGTCCTCATAGGATTAGGTAAAAAGATCCTTTATCCATTGAATCCCTTTGGCCCCTATGTAAAAAAAAATCAATTGATTACATAAAATAGGGTCTATTTTGAACACTTCACCTGTTCCATTGATATATTTGTCTGATTTTGTTCCAATTTTATGCTGTTTTGATTACTGTAGCCTAAGTAAATCTTGAAATCACGTAGTGATGTTCCCCCAATTTGTTCTTTTTCAAGTTTCTTTGATATTTTAGGTCCTTTGTGTTTCCATAGAAATTTTAGACTCAGCTCACCAGTTTCTACAAAAAAGCCTTCTGGGATTTTCATTAAGATAGCATCGAATCTAAGATCAGCTTGGGGAGAATTAATCTCTTAAAACAATATTCAGTCTTCAAATTCATGAACGTGGTAGAGCTCTCTGTTTATTTAAAACATAAATTGCTCTCAGAAAACTATGAATGTTTTGTAGTTTTAAATGCAGCAACCTTGCATATACATGTTAAATTTATTTCTGTTTTTATTTTTTTTGATGCTGTTGTAAATACCGTAATTCAAAATTTTATTTTTCAGTTTCCTATTGCTAATTATAGGTATATGTGTGTTTACATAAAGTTTGTTTTCATGTTGAACTTGTATGGTTTTGCTAAATCCACTAATGAGCTCTAGTAAATTTCTTGTAGATTCCTTAGAATTATCTACACAAATTTAACATAAGCAAAGAAAGACAGTTTTACTTTTTCCTTTCCGATCTATATGCCTGTTTCTCCTTTTCACATTAGCTAACACCTCTCCTACCATGTTGAATGACAGCGGCAGGAGCACTGTTCCTAATCTTATGGGGAGTGTTATGTCTCTGCTGTTAAGTATGATGTTTGCTGTAGGGTTTCATACATGCCCCTTATTAGATTGAGGATGTTTCCATTTATTTTTAGTTTACTGAGAGTTTTTTTTATCATGAATGGAAGTTGAATTTGTAAAATACTATTTTTTTGCACTTATTGAAATGATTATATTATTTTTCGGCCTTTAGTCTATTAATGTGGCAAATTATATTGATTGATTTTTTAATATTAAATCAACCTTTTATTCCTGGGATTCCTCTATTCTTGATATATTTATTATATTTTGCTGGATTTAATTTGTTATTTTGTTAAGGATTCTTGTGTCTATGTTAACAAGAAATATTGGTCTATAGTTGTATTTTTCTCTTTTTTGTAATATCATGGTTGTGCTAGACTGATGAGTTGGGGATTGTTCTCTACTTCTCTCTTCTTTGAAAGAATTCTTGTAATACTGACATTATTTCTTCCTTAGGCTTTTAATGGGATCCGCCAGTAAATCTATTTGGGTCTGGAGTTCTCTTTGTTGGATGGTAACAAACTACAAAGCCAATTTTTAAAATATATCTGGGGCTATTTAGATTTTCTATTTCTTCTTAATTTGTGTTTTTAAGGATTATGTTCATTTCATCTAAATGGTTGAATTTATTGGCATAACATTGTTCATATCATATTTTAAATTCTGCAAGATCTCTAGTTGTGCCTTCTCTTTCATTTCTGATACTGGTAATTTGCATTTTATCTTTTTTTTTGATCAGTGTAGCTAGAGGTTTTTCAATTATATTGATCTTTTTTAGAGAATCAATATTTGTTTCTAGTCAGCTCTATTTTTTTTCAGTTTTCTGTTTCATTGATTCTACTTTTATCTTTGTGAGTTTCTTACCTAGACTTACTGTGAGTTCACCTTGCTCTACTTCTTATAGGGGGTGCTTAAACTATTAATTTACACCTTTCTTCTCTTCTAATAAATTTTAAAACTATACAGTTCCCTCTGCTTAATTCCGTGAATTCTGGTATGCTATCTTTTAAATTATCTTTTTAATTATCATTTAATTTGCAATATTTTCTAATTACTCTTGTGATTTCTTCTTTGACCTGTAGCTTATAAAAGCATTTTTGCTGAATTTCCAAATATTTTGATTTGCCAGATTTTTTGTTATTGATTTATAATTTAATACCATTGTGGTCAGAGAACATACTTTGAATAACTTCATTCGCTTAAATATATTAAGTTTTTTTGGCCTGGAATATGACTCATTTTGGTGAATGTCGCATGTACAGTTGAAAAGAGTGCTGTTGGTTGTGGTGATGTGGTGCACATATATGTCGATTAGCTCAAGTTGGTACATAGGGACGTTTGAATCTTCTGCATTCTTACTGATTTTCTGTCTATACCTTTTATCAATTACTGAGAGAGGAGCTATGAAGTCTTCAAGTTTGATGGTAGATTTGCCAATTTCTCTATTCGGTTCTGTTAGCTTTTGTTTCATTTAAAACTATATTTATTTGCAATCGCAATTAGGATTGTTATATCTTTTTGATGGATTGACCCTCTTATCACATGGCATATTCCTCTCTATTTTATTTTTGGTGAAGTCCTGACGTCTGCTTTCTCTCATGTTAATAAGGTTATTCCAGTTTTTTTATGACGGTGCTGATATAAGATGTATGCAGCCAGCCATGGCGGTCTGGTGGGGAAGATCGGTGAGTGGCCCAGGTTCATTTCCTGGTCAGGGAACCACACCACTGTCTTTCAGTTGTGATGTTGAAAGCTATGCCACTGGTGTTTTAAATACCAGCACGGTCCCTCATGGTGGACAGGTTTCAGTGGAGCTTCCAGACTAAGACAGATAGGAAGAAGGACCTGGCCACCCACTTCTGAAAAAACTGGCCATAAAAACTCTGTGAATAGCAGCAGAGCCTTGTCTGATACAGTGCTGGAAGTGGAGAGGATGGCGCAGAAAGATGGGCCAGGGTTCTGCTCAGCTGTACACAGGGTCCCTAGGAGTCAGAATTGATTCGAGGGCACTAACAACAACAACATACATTTTCCAACCTTTTACTTTTATCCTACCTGTGTTTTTATATTTCAAGTAAATTGGATCTTGTTGTTGTTGTTTTTAATCCAGTTTGACAGTCTCTGCATTTTAATTTGCGCAGTTAGTCCCTTTTTATGTAATTATTGATCTATTTGCATTTAAGCCTACCATCTTATTATTAGTTCTCGTTTTCTCTCACATAATCTTGGTTTCTTTTTTAAACCTTATTTTGGATTTATTATTTTCTAATATTTTATTTTATATCCTCCATTGGACTTTAACCACAACTCTCTATGAATTTTTCAAGTGGTAATCTAGGATTTTTATTAAGCATCTGTAGCTTATTACAATCCACCTTCGAACAATCCTGTTATGTTTCTTCATGTCTAATTGAAGAACCTGGTAGCAGTGCCTCATTCACTGCCTCCTTTGCTTTCTTCTCTGTCATGTTTTACTTCCACATATGCCGTCTACTCCACGATACTTCATTACGGATTATACTTTAAGGAGTCAGTTATCTTTTCAAGGGATTTTAAATGCAAGGAACAATAAATTATACTGATCCATGTATTTACTATTTTTAATGTTCTTCATTTCCATGTAAAGATCTGAGTTTGCCTTTGGTGTCATTCTCTTTCCATCTGAAGAAGTTCCTTTAACATTTCTTGAGTGGAGGTTACTGGCAACAAATTATCTCAGCTTTTATTTGTAAGACAATGTCTATTTCACTTTCACTTTTTCTGAACATTTTCTCTGGACATAGAACGCTAAGTTGACATTTCTCCCAGCACTTTATCATTTCTTTGTTTTCTGGCTCTGTTTCTGATGAAAAGTTAAAGGTCATTTTATCATTTTCCCCTATTCTGGATGGCCTTCTCCCCCTTGGCTGCTTTAAGGATTTTCTCTTTATTATTCATTGTCGGCAATTTGATTATGATGTGTCTTGGTGCGATTTTTAATGTTTATTCTACTTTTGGTTCATGAGCTCCTTGGATCTGTGTTTATCTTTCAAATCAAATTTTGAAATTCTTGGCCATTAGTCCTTCCGCTATTTTTGTGCCCCACCCTGTCTCTTGTCCTTTTCTGGGACCGTGATTACATACTTGTTAGAACAGTTGATGTTGTCTCAGATCACTGAGGGTCTGTTCATTGTTTGAAGCCTGTTTTTTCTTTCTATGCTTCAGCTTGTGTTGCTTCTATTGCCTGATCTTGACATTCACCGCTGTTTCTTCTGCTGTATC